AGTGGAATTACTAGGTTGTGGAGTGTGTGGTTAAAATGTTAATCAATATTGCCAATTTACCCTTTCAAAGGTTGAGCCAATTCCCCCTCCCTCCAATGGTCTGTGAGTACTCATTTTCCCACATTCTTGCCAGCACTGCTTGTTATCAATCATTTAAATTTTTCCCAATCTAATAGGCAAAAAATGGTAGCATGTCGCTTTCATTTGCATTTCCCTGGTTGCTAGTGAGATAGGACATCTTTTCGTGCATTTGTTGGTCAATTTAGTTCCTCCTCTGCAGATTTCTAATTCACTGCCAATTTCTCTCTTCTTTTGTCTTTTTTCTTATTGATTTGTAGGGGCTCTTTGCATATTAGTGATATTTTCTTCCAGTGTCTCATTTGCCTTTTAACTTTGTTTATGTGTCTTTTGCCGTACAGATGTTTTACACGTTTATGTACAGTAGTTGGATTTGTTGAATTTTCACTTTATGGCTTCAGGATGTAATGTCTGGCATAGAAACGCTTCCCACTGCATCAGATTTCATTTCAAATAAGAACTTTATTGCTGAAAAAACTTTGCAAAGCTCTGGTTTGTAGGCTCCTTCCCAGCTGTGTGTCTGTTCCTCTTGGCAGCTGCAGGCCTGCCTCTGAGGGAGGGGAGGGGTCCTCCATCCATCTTCAGCTCTCAGCTCTCCCTCTTTCTGGCTGGCTTTGGGGTCGCTGCCACTCTCTTTCAGAGCCTCTGTCTCTCATATGATTTGCCCCCATTCCTCTGTCTCTGCTGTTTTCCCGTCCCCAGCTGGTTTCCTATCAGGCAGCAGTAACTAGGGGTGTGAGGTGGCTGTGGCGGCAGCCCTTAGTGGGTTGGGGACGGGATGGCAGCTGTCACAGAATGTGCCCCTTCGCCCAAGTCCTGTGGGCTGGCAGGGGAGGCCCTGGCCTGGTTTCTTCTCTAGAAGAGACTCTTCCTGTCAGAGCCCGAGGGCGGGCTCTGAGCCAATCCTAGTCCCTCTTCCATCAGGAAGCCTCCAAGACAGCTTCTTCCTCCCTTCCCACAGTCCTGGACCTGGCCCTCCTTTCTGTCCTTGCTGGTCTTTCCCCATCCTGCCTTCACAGGGCTGAGCTTCCCAGAGTCCACCTGGCCACCTCTCAGGGCCTTGGTTTCCACCTGTGTAACATAGGTCCTGGGCGGCTGTCATAGCTGCTGGAAAGCATGGAACCTACAGCACTGGCGGGTCTTCCCAGCCAAACTCTGAAAGGTGTTACCTCTTGTTCTCTTAGTACAGCCCCATCCCAAAAAACAACAACACAAAACAAAACAAAACACCAAAAATCACAGGAGAGAGCTTGCATGTTGCTGACAAAGAGATAGGGACTTGTGTTCCGTCAGGATGGTGGCCAGTGGGGCTCACTGGTTCTCTGCTCACCTCAGGCCCAGTGTCATGCCTGGCTCATGGGAGGTGCCCAGGAAAGAAAGAGAGAAAGGGCAAAGGCTTAATGAACAATGTGGGAGCTGCTGAGGCTGGGGAGGAGGAGGGAAGTCTGGGGCCCACATTCTTTGAGTTACTTCTGGGTAGCAAGGCACTTTCCTCATAGTTCCTCATTCCTGGGGCCTGAGGTGCTAATGAGAAATATCCCCCTTTACATCCTGGAGATGTGGGCCCCAAGTGGACTATAGTGGGACCTTGGGCTGGGGGAGCAGCTGGGAGAAAACTTGGGGAAACTCAGAGGTCTCTTAGAAGCATGGCTCAGAAGTGCATAACCTAAAACTCTGAGGGACCCTTCCCTGGGCTCCTGCAGTCCCTGGCCTTCTGGCCTGGCACCCACCCTCTGATCATGATGGTCTGTCTCCTCTGAGCAGGAGCAGTGTCCTTTATATCTCCCTGTTCCACTGACCAAGCGCATGGTACATACTTAACAGAAGTAGAATGAATTAATGAGGGAATAGCTAGGGGTATTGATCAGAGGGCTCAGGTCTGGGGAAGAGGAGACCTGGGCTCTGGACTTGACTTTTGGTTGACTTTCTGTGTGACCCTGACCCTGGTTGGACCTCAGTCTCCCCATCTGTACAGTGGGCGTGGGCCTCTCAAGCTCTGTGATTTTGCTCCATGTTGCCAGAGCAGGCACAGGCCTACATGACATACACATGCAGCACACATGCCAGGGCCCTGTGTGATCAGTGTTTGCTGAATGTGTACCGCGTGCCAGCCCCACTCAGTGCTGAACCCACTTTGTCAGAGTCCTTGGATAGCTGTTTCTGTGAAGTTCTCACATTTTCTGGGGCATTTGTTCATTCTGCTAAACACACAGGCTACACAGGCTGAGAGCTCACTGGGCTCCACTGAGGTGGCAAGGAGCCAAAAGAGCAGGTAGGAGGCCCCCAACCTTGGCTGCAGCCCCTTGCACTCTCCTTGGCTGTGAGGCCTGCAGCTGGGGTTTCATGTTTTTGGGGACCTGGCACACCAGCAGACCTCGTGTCCAGGCGAGTGCCCGGCTCCCACTGCATCTCCTCCCCTGCCCCCAAATCATTGTCATGCTCTGCCTGTGGTCCCATTTCCATAGCAACTCCTTGTGATGCCACAGAGGAGAGTGGGAGCTTTAGGAAGATTTTGGGGGAAGGGAGTGGGAGGCCCATTCATTGTCTTGGAGTATAGCAGCTGGGGGCCCGGAATGGCACTGTGGGGATGGCTTACCCTGCCAGCTCAGGTGGAACTGGGTTCAGGGTCGCCAGCCAGGTGGTCTGGAGGCCTTCCAGGGACAGGGCTGCCCAGGTTGGCCTGGGCCTGGCTGGCTCATGCCAGTCTATCAGGATCCAGCTTGGGAGGCCACTGACAGCGCCTCTGTCTGGCTAGACCTGGCTTAGGGTACCTGGGCCTGAGGAGCTGCCCAGTCTCTGCTACCCCTCTGTCCCAGGCTGGCACCGCTATGTTCTCTCCTGTCCTCCAGGATCAGCAACTAGTGGGAGGTGCACCCAGGGCCGGCTGGCAGCAGGGCCATAATTTGGGACTGGTGAACTGTGGGGCTGGGCAGGCCTCTCTTCACTGGTCAGGACTGCTTCGTGGCTCTGTTGTCAGGATGGGAAAGCCAAAGTGGGCCCTGGAGCCTGCTCAGCACCCATTTCTCTGCGTCCTTGGAGAAGTCTGCAGCCCGTAATATAGGAAGACCCTGGCCTCAAAGCATCTCCTACATCTTCACCTACCACGTGGCTAGAAATTCCAGCATTCGCTGGATTTGATAGAATGTTGATAGATTTGATAGAATGTTGATTGTGGGAGGGACCCTAAGGGCTTTTCCATCTTCTGCCCACATTATAGCAGTCACCTTGTAGCCCCATCCACCCATCCTTCCATCTCTGCCATCCAGAAGGCCTTGTGAATGCCCCTGGGGTCCTAGGCCTGTGCTGGACAGCACCCAATGGGAAATCGAGCAGAAAGGAGGGGCTGGCCTGGCCCTCCAGGGAAGGTGGAAGCTGCTTGCCCTCTCAAGGGCTGCCGGGAGCCAGGTGCTGGGTTCGATGTCAGCTTCTTGAGCTTCCCTTTCACCATCACAGTTGAAACCACCCCTGGGTACCCCCTGCACTTATGTTTTCTTAATCCTTGTCTTCATGTTGACTTATGTTTGAAGGTGGATTACCATGATGCTGCCCAAGCACACATCCAGGAAATCACACCTGTGATGTGCCTGTCATTTTTTTTTTTTTTCCAATACACAGATAGAGAAACACATAACTGAAAATGAAAACGTTTGTCTGCATACCACGAAACCCCCTTGTGCACTCCCAGAAGCATGTGTCTCCTACTTTGGGAAACACAGATCTGATTGAAACCTCTTTGCAGCAGCTCAGAAAGAGATCTGGGACTTGGTCTGAGAGGTTGAGGAAACTGAGGTACAGAGGAAGAAGCTTTGCCCAGGGCCACGTGGAGGAGGGAGAGCTGGGAGTTAACTCACCTCCTTGGACTTTGAGCTGAGCTTATATCCTGCACCATGGAGGCCTCAGAGCCTTTCCAAGGAGCCAGAACTTCCTAGCACCCTCCCCTACTCACAGAGGACAGAGTGTCTGGTCTAGAGGAACCCTTGGAGAATATATAATGAAGGAATAAAACAGGATGCCTGGGTATGATGACTCCGTGGATAATCCCAGCACTTTGGGAGGTTGAGGTGGGAGGACTGCTTGAGGCGAGGAGTTTGAGACCAACCTGGGCAACATAGTTTACAAAAAAATTAAAAAGTTAGCTGGCTGTGGTGATACACACACCTGTAGTCCCAGCTCCTTGGGAGGCTGAGGTGGGAGGATCACTTGAGCCCAGGAGTTTGGGCTGCAGTGAACTATGATGGCACTACTACACTCCAGCCTGGGTGCAGAGCAAGACTCTGTCTCTGTACCTTAAAAAAGAAAGGCGGGAGAGGTTGGGGGATGGGAGGGTGAGTAGGTGGGCGGTTGTAGGGATCTTGGGGCCTCGGAAGTTGAGGCTGAGGCCCAGGGAGAGGCACTCTGGTGCTGCCCATCGTCCCCTCTCAGGGATCAGCCTGGGGCCTGCCTCCTGGGTCCTGGCTGGGGAGGAAGGCAGGCAGTGGCATTGGCTGGACACCTACTGTGCACCAGGCCATGTGTCCCTTCTCTCTCTATATCCTCCCAGCAGTCCTGGCAGGAGAGATGATATCTCCCTTTTATGGATGAGGGAAGTGGCTTTCCCAGGGCCACAGAGCCAGTTGGTGGGAGAGGCATAGTCAGACTCCAGCCTGCTGGGGCCACAAACCCTGCCCTTCCCAGAGGCCTGCCTACCCCAGCTAGTGCTCTGTGTGTGTGTGTATATGTGTAAGCATAAGTTTGCCAGTGAACGAGAGAACATGTGTGAGTGTGTGCAAGTGTGTGTGTGTCAGAGTGTGTGTGTGGGATGTTTGAGTTTTTAATGGCTCAACCAGGCAGGATCAGACCCATTTGCAGGTGTGGCCCCCACTGCATCCCGACCACCTGCTTCCCTGCTCTAGCTGACAGCCATCTCCTCTTTCTCCCCACAGCCTCCTGCGCCCACAGGCCCTGAGGCTCCAGTACCCACAGGTGGAGAGGGCAACTGAATCCAGCTCAGGCTAAGCCCCACCCAGCTGTACTTCCCAGACACCCACCCAACTCTAGGTAAGATGCCACTCTGGGCAGCAGGGCAGGGTGGGAGTGGTGTGAGCCATGGAGGGTGTGGGGTCTGTAGGGGAGGCTGTCGTGGGGCCCTCTTTCTGGGGGTTTCCCCATCTCTCCCTCCCCACATGCAGCCATGCTCAGGAGGTTGCTGTGGCGGTGCCACTTGCCGCCAGCCCTTGCTGTAGTAGGGCTCTCCAGCAGGCAGCTTGGAAGCCTGGAGTGTTCTTCACAGCAACTGGGTTTCATGGACAGTTCCGGCTAATGGGTTCCCGTGTGGCATGGGAGGTCTCTAAGGGCAGGCTGCAGGGCTCTGTCTTTGGTCCTGTCACATTGTTGACCAAATGTGTGCCTGATTTCAGGTCGGGAGGGAGCCAGAACATGTGGACTGAGACAATCAGGGTCCAAGAAACTGTCAAGAGGCTGGCATTAGCTCTAATGTGTGGAGTTTAACAGGGTTCCACACCAGAGACAGCATGTGGGTCCAGACACCTTGAGGGAGAGATGAGGCTCAGACCCCAGGTGTGTTTGTGCAACAAGCACTGGCAGCCAGGTGACCTTGGCTCTCTGTGAACAGCAGATAGGTTCTTAGACTGTAACATGAGGAGCAGGATCCCCAGAATGTGGGAGGTGACAAGTCCTCTCACTTTGTGGTTCATGTGAAGGGATGTGGAGAAACAACAGCATGTCCCAGAGAAGTGGGAGATGGGGAAGGAGGGGGACCTGGGTTGCTACCTGGTTTGACCTCTGGCTTGCTTGTGACCTTGGACAAGTCACCTCTACCCCATATCTTGGCCAATCCCCTGTTCTTGACAGGCCTCTGTCACCCATGAGAGGGCTGCAGAAAGACTTTGCTAAACAGAGGGAATGGTGGGGTGGGCTATGGGCAGCAGGCTGGCCTGGCGGATTGTCTTCATTTTTCAGAGGAAGAAGCCTGGCGGCTCTTCAGGCAGCAGGCCTGGACTCCCTTCTCCTGAGGGATCGGGTGACAGCTGTGTTTGGCTGAGGCTCAGCCAGCCCTGTCCTCACACTGAAGCTGGCGGAAGCAGAGGCCTGGATTTCCTTCCCAGACACGAGGCCTTGCTCCGAAGCCTAGTTAGCACCGTCAACATATTTCTGGTAATTAGTTGGCTCTGGGTAGAATGAGCAGCTGATTAGCCCCTCCAGTTTAACCTGTAATTGCTGCTGGGAGATGGGTGAGAGGATGGGGTCAGGGTTGTCTGTGCAGCAACTGGGGTGATGGGGGCAGGGGGCAGGGGCGTGAGCAGCCTCCCCACTGCCCAGGCAGACAGCAGCACCCACAGGCACCACAGCCCGGGGGCATAGGGAGCTCAGGAGGCAGGGAGATGCAGGCGGGAGCTGACACAGGGCAGGAGGGCCACAGTCAGCTGGGGATCTGGCAGGGCTTGGAACAAGTCACACCTGGGCTAAGCCTTGAAATCTGTAAGGTGCTTTTCAAACATTTTATTTTTCTGGTTATAAAAAAAGTAATGTGTGTTCTTTATAGAAAAGTGTGAGCGCTTGGGTGTTTAGCCCGTCAGTCTTCTACAAAACATGTATTTATGACATAATTGGGATCAAGCTGTACTTACTGTTTTCTAACTTGCCTTTTGTACTTAATCCCATACCAAGATCATTTTCCTATCATTCAATATTCTTCGACAATGTGATTTTTAATGGGTCCTGCAGACTCTAGGAGTGGTGGGCAGGATGAGGTGAGGTGTCCTGATCGGTTGCCTTGACCAAGTGGGAGATGAAAGAATTTGGATTCAGATCCCAGCCCTGCCACTTACTGGGTGTCCTCGAGCAAGTGACTCAGCCTCTCTGGACCTCTTTTTCCTCCCGAGTGGCACAGTAACCTCCCTGAAGGGTGGTGAGGATCAGATGGGATTGCACAGGTGAACCTGCTGGGCCCAGGCCTGGTGGGTCTTGCCTGTGGAACCTGAATTTGTGGGCTGTGTCTTAACGGCACTGTTAGGTGGTGCTGGTTCCTGTCCCAGCCCTGCTTGCTTCTTGCAAGTGATTCATTTCTCCAGTCTCAGTTTCCCATATGCACAATGGACATAATGATACCTACCTCACGGAGGTGTTGTACTGTCTCAGCGAGAGTCCTCTGTGACCTTCCCCCGCATCATTGAATGAGTCTGTTCTCCCTAAGTACACAGTGGAATTTGCCTGGGGTTGGCCACCACATCATGAGTAGGTGACGTGGTCCTTGCCTCTGGGTAGCAATGTGAAGTTAGAGGGATCAAGGAGAAATGCTGTGAGCCTCAGGAAAGGGAAGGAGATAAAAGCTGGGGAAGTCAGGGAGGGCTTCCTGCAGGTGTCTGGTCCTTAGAGCTCGTGAGGATTTGGGGAAGGTGGGGGTGGGAGAGAGTGACAGAGAGCACGTGTGTTTGGGAATAGTGTGAACAAAGAACAGGCAGGAGGAGTAAGCCTGGGACAGGGTATGAGCTGTCCGAGAGCTGCTGCTGACTGGGGGTCAGAGCTCTGAGAGGTCCCAGCCCTGGAGCCCTGGTGGGGGTGGAGGACCAGTAGTTGGGGGTGGGACCACTGTCTGCTGACTAAGGGCAGGGAGACATCAAACAGCCGGGATCCTGGCACACAGCCCTACCTGGGGGCTGCAGGGAGGGGCGGGATTTAGCATAGGATCTATGGACAGGCCTCCCCACACACCAGGGCCTCAGTTGGGAAGTACGAGGGACTGTGTAAGGCCTGAGAAGAGGCTGGTGGCTGCTGCCCAAACTGGCAGGACCCCACCTGTGGAGATCAGCCTGTGGGCCACCTTTAGCCAAAATGTGTGAGCCAGGGGCTCTGGCTGCTTGAAGTCCAAGAGAAGGAGATGTGGGAGGGGTCCACATTGGGCTGAGGGGGCCGGGGAGGCTAACCCTTGTGGAGCACCCACTTTGTGCCAGGCCCTAAGTCAGACTCACTCCCAGCTTGGGTTTGTGTAATTTGCACAACAGCCTGGAGAGGGCGCCAGCTCTTAGACTCATTTTAAGGAGCTGGAAACTGGGAGAGGCCTGGCCTGGAAACTGGGACTGGCCTGCCCTGGCCCTGTTTCAAATCGGAACTCCACACATCATGCTTTTTCAGTGGCCCCATGCTACTCCCCAGGGCTGTGGTTTTTACAGGTGATGACCCCAGACTTCCCTGGGCAGGCTTGAAAGAACTATATCCCAGTACGAAGTCTTCCTTGGCTTTGCCTTTCTTAGGGAGGCTCAGAGAGGTCGAGGGTATGACCCAATGCCACACAGCCCTGGGGTCTGCAGTCCCTGGCTCCCTGGGGGGCATGCACCATGATCCCTTCTCTCTGGGGTCTGGTGGCCCCAGCCAAGCCCTACGAGGTCTGGGAACCTAGGGGGTCTTCCCAGATGTAAGACTACTCAGCCTCGGAGCCACTGAGAGAGGCTTTAAAAATTTTGGCTTCAAATTAAAACCTATGAGCTCCTCAAAACAATGAAAAATTTCCCTAATAAAAGGAGAGGCACACTCAGAGATAAAAGCTGGGGAAGTCAGGGAGGGCTTCCTGCAGGTGTCTGGTCCTTAGAGCTCGTGAGGATGAGCAGCCTCCCCACTGCCCAGGCAGACAGCAGCACCCACAGGCACCACAGCCCGGGGGCATAGGGAGCTCAGGAGGCAGGGAGATGCAGGCGGAGAATGGCGTAAAAACCCGGGAGGCGGAGCTTGCAATGAGCTGAGATCCGGCCACTGCACTCCAGCCTGGGCGACACAGCGAGACTCCGTCTCAAAAAAAAAAAAAAAAAAAAAAAGGAGAGGCACACTCAGGCATGTCCTAAATGAATTGAGTGACTTCAGGGATTAATTCGGGATGTATGGGAGGGCGCCCAGCCGGGAAAAGTGCACAGTAGATATTGTAACAAATTGTTTGCTCACAAGAGGAATAATTCTTTTTTCTTTATTATACTTTAAGTTCTAGGGTACATGTGCACAACCTGCAGGTTTGTTACATATGTATACATGTGCCATGTTGGTGTGCTGCACCCATTAACTCGTCATTTACATTAGGTATATCTCCTAATGCTATCCCTCCCCCCTTCCCCCACCGAATGACAGGCCCCGTGTGTGATGTTCCCCATCCTGTGTCCAAGTGTTCTCATTGTTCATGTTCTCACTCACAGGTGGGAAGAGGAATAATTCTTAATGTGCACTGGCTGCAAGGGGAAGCTACCTTGGCTGCCTGCAGCACGATCCCTCATCAGCCAGGCGCTGGGCACGGTCTCTGCTAGGGCAGCCTTACCTGTAAGCCTCCAGGCCTTCCAACCACACAAGCTGGCCTGAGTGGGACTGAGTGGGCCCTCCATGCGTCCTTAGAGCCCCACGGCCTTCTGAGTTCTGCTCTCTTCTGCTGGCTCTGTGCTTTTGGCTAGGGCGGGGAAGGTGCTGGCTGGAGGGCAATTCTTCCTCCTCTGCTATGCAAACCAAACTCTTCCTGTTGAGATCTCCCGGAGACCCCAGGCTGCCAGTCCCCCCATCTCAGACGACCCAAAGGAGGCTCCTCACAGACTGGCTCTCAGCATGCCCCAGTTTACCTGTCCCGGGCTTGGGCAGCTGCTTCCTTCCCAGGTCCCTTGCCTCGGGGATGAGTGGGGTGGGGGCAGCACCGTCCTCCCTGGCCAGCCCTCCCAGGTTCCTAGTGTCTCTGTACCAAACCTGGGGGAAAGGTGAGGCAAAGTCAGTCTGTGCTCAGGAACATAAATGAATACCACTGAGGTGCAAACGGAGAAAGGCTTCCTGTATCCCACCTCCCCCTCCCGGCTGGAGTGGGTCCAGCACAGAGAAAAAAAAGCACTGGCTCCTGAGTCAGGCGAGCCTGGATTTGGGTCTAGCTTCCCTGCTTTCTGACTCTGGGACTCCAGGCAACTCCCACAATCTCTCCAGCTTCTTCCTCTGTAAGAGATGAGATTTGTTTTAGCAGCAGCAGCAGCTGCTCACAGTTTTGAGATACAGTCTTATCCATCCACACAACAGTCCTAGAAGTTGGAACCTAGGATTATCCCCATTAAACGGACAAAGAGACTGGGCTCAGAGAGGTGAAGCTCTCTGCATCCTTGTAGCTGCTTCATGAAGTTGTTTAGAGAAAAGGGCCCTTTTATAGATGCTCCTCCATGAACACTGGCCCCACGTGCTCCCTTTCCTGAGCAGAAGAGGTGCTGAGGCCCTACCAAGGTAGGGGCAGGAGACTTTGGGCACGGGGACCCTGATCCTTCTCACCTCTCCCATCTGGCTTGGAGCCAGCCTGCCCTTTCATTCACTCCTTCATTCACTCGCTCATCAAGTGCTGATGAAACACCTATGAAGTGCGGTATCCCCAGCAGCTAGAACGTTATGCACTGTTCCTCCCCCCAGGTAGCTTCCCGTCTTGAGGGAGCAACAGCACGGCAAACAAGTAATTTGGGTAATCTCAGACTGTGCTGAGTCCAGGAGGGAAACAACAGGGCTGTGGAATTGGGAGTGGCTGGGGTAGGGTGAGCTGCTCCAATGGGCATCCAGGCAGGCCTCTCTGAAGAGGTGACTTTGAGGGGCTGAATGTCAAGGCAAAGGCTGGCAGGTGGGAAGTAGCTGGCTATCTCTGGAGATCAGGAGGAAGACAGTGTGGCTGGTGTGTGGGGAGTGAGGGAGAGAGCAGGGACAGGGGTGGGAAACAGAGCCTTAGCCGCCCTGCTGAGGAGCAGGGGTGTGCTTTGGAGGGGGTTAAGCCGATCAGTGACAGGGCCTGATATGTGCTTTCCAAATTCTGTTCTGGCCTCTGGGTGGAGAGAATGGATTAGAGGCCATGGCAGGAAGAGCAGGGAGCCTTGAGGGGAGGTGGGTGCAGGGACCCAGGAGAGAGGTGGGGTCATGGCTGCAGGGTGGTGGTGCAGATGGCGAGGAGTGGGTGGCTGGGAGAAGGGTTGGAGAGTGGTCATGGGATGGGAAGTCCGAGAGTCCTGGTTGGGGCTGGGTCAGTTTGGCTCGAGTGGCACCATTTTTTGAGATGGGCAATCTGGC